GCGCGCGCGCGCGTCGTGTGTGTGTGTGTGTGTGTGTGTGTGTGTGTGTGAAGATATATACATAAAGATTCAATTTAATTTGTCTGAGTTAATTATATCGAATAAAGTGCATCAAATAAAAAACTAAAACAGGAAAATTAATGAGATAGCCTGTAGACAATTTTGAACCAAGTTGCGCAAATTTACGGATACTCTAGAGAGGAGGAGATGAGGGATCAAATTTTTTAAATGACATCTCTCTATAAGTGTCATTCTACAACGAGCCATAAGTGATAAATTATAAGTCAGAAAATATGAATTGACTAATCATAGGCGAGTATTCTTATTATATTTAATCTATAGTTGGTCAATTATTAGTTTCTGATTTATGATCTATTAATAATAGCTTATTATAGAAAACATAAGAATAACAGCAATCAATACAGACAAATTCAAAAAGTAATACTTTTATATGTTTATCTTATAAATTATGATAGTACTAAATTTTTGAAAATAATTTAGGAAAAATATTGATGTCTGTCCGTTCAATTTACCTATGCAAATATATCTGAAAAATGAGAAATTAAATAAAATATCAAAAACAAACTTTTATTGAGATTGTGTTAAAATTATTTTCAATGCAACAGAACTTTTCTTCACAATATTTATAGAGAAATAAAGGATTAAGTTCTTTTAATGACAACTAGAAAAATAACGCTCTGATACGGTTTTAATAAAGACTCCACTTTTAAATTTGTACTTTGACTCAAACTTTGACTCAAAATTGCCTACAGCCTTCATTAATTTTCCTTCATCTTGATTTTTTTCATTTAAAGCATATTATTCCATGTAATTAATCCGGACAGATTAAATCGAATATCCTGTGTGTTTGCTTGTGTGATGTTTGTGTGCCTGTGTGGTGTATATGTGCGTGCGTGTGTAAACATTACCAGACTTATTCACAGATTGAGCGTTGAGCAGATCCGAGAAAGACAGGTTATTACACATTGTATTTGCCTGCAACATCATCCAAGCCTAGAAATAGAAAAAAGATGTGTTGGTTTCAATAAATTTCTCAAGATACTGTAAATGTAAATATACTTCATATATTTTAATAAGGCATACATACTTCCTCTAATTTTACTGTACCACTATCATTAACATCCATAGATCTAAATATTTCCCGTAACTTTCTGTAAAGAAAACTTCTTTATAAATTATTTGTAACTTATTTTATAATATTTCGAACATTTTTATATATGCTAATTTTTAAATTAAGAATTGAGAAACTTTCTAAATAATAATAGGAACAAGCAACTATTGTTTAATGATATCATTTATTATTATATTATTTACTTAAGAACATTTTTGTAAATATTAACTCAAAAAGTATGTAGCATGCAAAATAATTTTATGAACACATATGCACGCATGCACGTACAGAGAGAGAAAGAGAAAGAAAGAGAGAGAAAGAGAGAGGAAGGAAAGTAGGAAGGGAGAGAGGAAGAGGCATTCCCATTTTTTTTAACAAAAATAGTTTTTTAACAAAAATTACGGGGATTTAGAATAAAATATTAGACAAAAGTTGTAAAATTCCGAGAATATGCATGCGTGTAAATGTATGCATGTGATCTTTAGTGAAGATCTAATTATTAGAGGAAAAGAATGAATACAAGAAAGTATAAGAAAGTAACGCAATTCTGTCAACACAACTCGTAGTCCGTCAACGTAGTCCGTTAAATTTATACTGTATTGAATATCTATTTAGCTATTCCTCAAGGAAGTGATCATAATAAAATGATGTGGATGTACTGTTTGATCATGAAAAAACTATATTTTAATCTTTGTCTCGTTTCATTATACATTAAGAAAGATGTTATACTGAATGTAACTTAATCTAAGACAGATTGGAACATTTGTTATTTATTTAAACAGAATTTTTATTTAACAATTTAATGAAATCCTACTTAGCTCGTATACTTTTTTTACTCTTTTGTTTCTTTAATTTCGTTAACCATTTGAGCCTTTACACATCTTTGTTTTCTTAAAAAAATATTTTACAAAATATTATAAAATTCATGCTATATTATAAATATTGATTAGCGGAGTACTGAAAGTGATATCTTTATAAGCGCAATTATAATGCTTCAAAATATATTTGTTAATTCAAGAAGTTTCAGCTCAAATGTGTTCATAATTATTGTGTTCAAGAAATGAGATATTCTTCAATTATATAGGCTTGTTATTTTAATAAATTTTTTTAACAGCAAAGATGCGAGAAAAAGATCTGTAAATATTTATGTTGCGTTCAAATACAAAAACAATAATTTAAATGCTTACATAAAATCTTTTTTTGTTTTATATATAAAATACATTATTCAATTATATCTATAAATACTATCAAATATATGAGGGTCTGGAAAGTTTTGAGCCTAACATAAAAACAAATATTTTTTCAATCAAATTCAGTTTTATTTTTCAACAATCTCCTTTTAAGTTACTTTTTCCAGCGATGCTCCCACCCTTTTAACCTCTTTAACATTCAAATAATAGTTGGCGTCTTGCTCTGTGTGGATCTTCTCATTCGACGAAAATTTCTGTCCTTCCGAGCCAAACTTTGAGCTTAAGAAACAGGAAAAAGTCGTTAGAAGCCAGATCTAATGAATATGATGAATGGTTAATTAATTCGAACTGCAATTCATTGAAGTTTTGCCGTGGCGTCCACTGAAGAGCCGGTGCGTTATCTTGATGGAATAGCACTTTCTTCTTCTTTAAATGTGTTTTTTCACAATTTCTGCCTTCAGTCAATTAATGATGCGTAGTACATCTCCGTTATTGTTTTACCTTTTTCAAGATAATCAATGAACACAATTTCATAACTATCCCAAAAAACAATCGCTATCACCTTTCCGGTCGATGAAACGATCTTCGCCTTCTTCGGAGCAAGTTCACTCTTCGCAGTCCACTGTTTTGATTGTTCCTTCGTTTCAGGAATGAAGTAGTGAATCCAAGTTTTATCAATAGTTATTAATCGACGCAAAAAATCCGAGTCGTTTCGTTTAAATCTCTAACAGAGCCTTGGAAATGTTCATTGAAATGAGTTTTTGGTTCACAGTGAGCAAGCGCAGCACTCAACGCGCGGTTAACTTATGCATGCTAATTCTTTAATCAATATATGAACAAACACGTTCTTTCAATATGCCCATAGCCTCTGCTATCTCTTCAAACTTTGATTGGACAGTCGTTCAGTACTATTTGGTGAACTTTTTCGATGTTATTGGTAATGATCGCAGTTGTTGGCCATCCCGAATGCTCATCATCAACCAAGCTGATACGACCATGTTTAAATTCAACTGTTCATCTTTTCATGGTAGCAAATGATGGAGCAGAGTCCCCATAACCATAAACAGCGTCTAACTCGGCTTTCACATGAATTTTTGTGTTGCGTCATGCAATTTATTGGGGATAAAGAGAAGGCTAAACGTGGATAAAGAGAAAGTTGAACTAGAATATCACAGAATACAGAGAAACTTATAAAGGATTTAGATAAACCTGTGTTATATAACCCTAGGGTTGAAGACACATAGTCGGAATTAATCCGACATCCTCCAACCGAAGGAAAAGAGAAAAAAAAAAAACTAACTCGGCTTTAATTTGCGTAAGCATATTGCCTTTCAAATGCAAGAATTTAATCACGGTACGATATTCGATTTTTTCCATTTTTACAAAAACATTGACATCGACTGGCACAAATAACTATCAAACAATAACTGAGCGTCCAAAATAACTACAATTTTCACAGATATCTTTCAAAGCATGTACAATTGTAATACTAGAATGGTTTTGATGAGTAATTCCATCTTCATGTTGAGACTCAAAACTTTTCAGATGACTTTCGTAATCAGATATAATCAGATATTATTTGATTTATTTCTACAAAAATATTTAATGTTAATATTTAGCAGTATAAAAATTTATAAAAATATTTAACTTTGTGACATACATTGCATCAGTAATAATAAAATTTCTGATTTTTTTTTATATTGTATAATTTTTTACTTATATAACTTTACTTATGCTGAAAAAGACTGAATACAAAACATTCATATTAATGTCTTCAACATCTCTATGAATAAATATTACATTTTTTGATCTTTTAATTGGCATAATTTTGACCTTAACTTTTCTTGCATTTTCACATACTGAGCTAACTAATTTATCAATTTTCATGGTAGCAAACTTTTCTTTACTTACTTTACTTTCTTTACTTACTATTTATTATTATTATTTTATTACAATACTTTTTAAATACTCTTTTTTTAAATAATTATATAAAATCAAGATTCTAGATGTTATTGATTTACTAATGAGAGAAATGTAACACTTTCTTAATATTGCCAATTTTATTATTTTTATTGATAACAGCCAAACCTATTTTCGAATGCACAATAAAAAGTAATTTTTCTATTTTGATTATAAAAATTGGTACTAGTACTAGTATTAGTTTTTGATGATAATTTTTGCTTTAATGATATTCTCTTTCTATTTTTACGAGATTACAAGTTGACACCAATTTTTAATATAAAATCTTTTATAAATACGATAAACTCCTCCTCCAATATGAAAATTTTTCTACAAAATAAATTTTTTGTACAGAACAGAATTAGGAATAACGAGTAGCCAGTGCCGTTCTTTATCTTTTTAAAAAAGATAATTTTGTAGATATATGAATAACAAAACTATTGAAATTTATCCAACCTTTCATTTAATGTAACAAACTATATTATTACATTGCCTATTATATTACCCAATAATTAATGAAATCTTAATATGAGTTGGACACATCAAGTTTTCATACATCAGTTTAATTTTAAAACTACTTTTATACAATTTAGCATTTACGAGGAGTCTATGATTATCTGTAATGATATAAATCTTTTTTATGTGGCTGTACTACTGATTGTACGCACGTAAGAGTTACATGACTTTCTGACCATTATAACAATGCAGATTTGACCTTCAAAAGTTAGTTGTTGTTATTATTATTATGAGGTTAATTATGACCGCTCCGTTTTTCCTTTACATCAAAGAAAAGTAACGGTTTTCTTTCTTTCTTTTTTTTTTTGGAGGTACATATCAGGGGCCAAATTATTGAAAAACTCTAGCATAATATGGAAATAGTAGATATGCAACACATCACGTATGAATAAATTAAAAAGTTTAATAATCATTGCACAAGTCACACATGAAAAAAGAATCAAATATCCATCCATCACTGATGACAAACATTAACTCAGTAACATGGTTCTATCAGATAGACGTATTAAAAGATCATCCATTAATCCTCAAATCAAGAAAAGAAAAAAAGCACTACATGCATGACGCGTCTCTCAAAAATGTTATTAATATGATATATCAAATGCATTAGAAAAGCAGGAGAATAATGTTAGAAAAATGATGTTATTATAAGATTTCTATTATTATTGTAATAAAAATTATAATGATTTCCGAGTGATTGATTCACCCTCACAACAGAATCCGTGGCAAAATAATGTGATTATATTACACGCACGCACGCACGCACGTACGCACGCGCACGCACACAATACACACGCATACGCACGCACGCACGCACACATAATCTTTATAAAAATCCAATTTAATACAATATAATACTGAAAATTACTTAGTTTATGTATTAAAACTGTAATTAAAAGTATTTTTTATGTTAGAAATAAATAATTAAAATTCTTCCAATGTTAAATTTCTATAAGTAAATATAATAAGTATGTTGTATTTTATTAATGACTATAAATTGACGCCAGGTTTTGATATCAAATCTTTTGTACTAAAAATCTTTTGTATAATATTGAATGCATATACCTGACAGGCTTTTTCAACAGTAAATTTTTATAAATTCAAAATAAAATTAGAGGAATCATATTATGTGATAAAAAAATACATGATTCTATTTTTGAAAAACGGTGATCATAAAAAAATATCGATTTCATTAGAAATAAGTCAGATAATTATGTGATAAAATTCTACAACCTTTGTTTGAACTTTTTTGTTAATTCCTTCGTTTTGAAGACATTTCACTGTTTACATTAAAATGGAATACTTTGTATATGTGTGTATACGTGCGTGCATGCATAAGTGCGTGCGTGCATGCGTACGTGCGTGTACGACTATTCATTATTTCTATGTCAATCTGGATTTGATATAATTTACAACAATGCAAAAAGTTTCAATGCAGTGCTTATTTTATTAATTGAAAAATGATTGAAAATGACATCTTTCAATATTACATAAATTCTTGCTTGGCGAATTAAAGCCTTATGAATCAACAGTAATGTATTTGCAAACAGAAATAATAGTAGATAGCCAGATTGAATCAAGTAAATTATAGCTATATATATTTAATGAATATTCAAACTCAATTTTCTCAAAAACAGAGCTCTATAGGAAAAAATTTTATTTTATATTTTCGACTTATTTCGACTTGAAAATTCACTTCCTTCTTGATTATACCATGATTTCAGAAACATCCTGTATGTGATATAAGGATCCTGTATATGAGAATCTGATGTAATGATCTTTGAAATTCAACTTATCCGAATTATAGCAAGCAATAGTTGCTTGTTTTAAGTTCCATTATTCTATTATTTCAGACCGTCAAAATGTTCTTAAATTACCTTGTCTACATCGAACAGAAACTTACACTGCATCCGTTCCATTCTGAGTAAGCGAGATTCTTATAGGTTTAATGCCATCCTCGGTATACAAATCCATACAATCTTGCACATTGATCTCTTCACGTAACATCTGTACATATATAATATATATATATATATATATATACATACATACATACATACATACATACACACATACATATATATACATACATACATACATATATTAATCACTAATTCCATTTATTTATTAATTAAAATCATTACCCTGGATGTACAGTGAAGGGCAACTGATACACTCTCAAATATCGGTATCCTTTGTCTTTCCATCAAATATTGAAGTACTAACAATCCATTCATCAAATCGTAATATTCCCTGAAAAATAAAATACATATTAATAAGAGAAAAATCATAGTACTCGAATAATAGCATTAATTTATTAATTTTATAAATTAATATACTGTGTAGAAACTGTCTCTCCAAGTATAGTCTGTCCCTGACGATACGGATAAATGACAAGAACTAAGGATTCGCTACGTGTAGCTGCCAGTTGAGCTGCTTCAATAATGCCCGCGCTGTTGCGCGTTTGGTTGTCAATGACAAACAATAAGACTCGTGCTGTCTGTTTAGCTTCATACTCTTGGGCTATTAATTCTGGGCCCCATTGTGATACTTGCTGCAATACATAGTGATAATCTGATTATGATATCTTTTGTATATATGGGTATAGAAAAAAAAAAGAAAGATAAACCACTTACAGGATTATAATAAGTAATA